ACAAACACATAGAGTATCAGGGCGACTGCAAGTTCTGTGTTCAATTTCTTTATTGTCTTTACTCCTTGTTTACAAGGAGTAAAGGCAATCTATTGTTTCCCATTGTTTACAAGGGGAGACCTGGGGTCTCAAGTCAGGCCAGACACAAAGTACTTCCCAGACGTTCAAATGATCCAATGTAGGATTCAAAAAAAATTAAGCTGTAATAAAGTGACTGAGAATGAAAGATCCAGTGTAAAAGAACAGGAGATCCTGCTACAAATACCAGTAACCACATGCACGGAATCTTTGAGGACATTTCTCTTAGAAAAACTTGATTTACAGGTGCACTCACTGGTAGTGTTTGCAGCATATGTGAGGCCTGAACTATACATACTACACAGTACACACACACACACACACACACACACACACACACACACATACACACAGAGCAAAATGGCATTGTTGGGTCTTTTCATTATGGCAAACACGCCGTGTCAACAATAAAGGAAATTGAACTCTGCACTTCTGTGAATTTTCTGTGAACCCAGGAAACTATTCTAAACCATAAAAAGCTTACTTCAACTGAAAATGGCAGCACATGCACCTAGTCCCAGCCACTCAGGAGGCTGAGGCAGAAATATCATTTGAGCTGAGGAGTTCAAGACCATCCTGAGCAACATAGCAAGACCCCACCTTAGAGAGTGGGGGAGAAAGCTTACTGAACTAAAATTATGCAGGTTTTTGTTTTGTTTTGTTTTTGTCTTCTTGAGACAGGGTCTCACTATGCAGTTCAGGCTGGCCTTGAGCTCACTTTGTAGCCCAGGCTGGTCTCAAACTCACAACGATCCTCCTACCTCAGCCTCCCGAGTGCTGGGATTACAGGTGTGTGCCACCACGCTTGGCATAATTATGCAGTTTTATATATTAACTTAAAAAAAACTTGATTTACAATACTTTTGTTTGCATACATAAAAGTTGTTCGCAGCCCAGTTCCAAGAGAAATCCCTGTTATATGCCGCATAACAAGTTTGACACCCAGAATCAAAGTATACGGCAGGCTTTTCTGCAGCCACTTGTGAAGACCGTGGAATTCTGGGAAGGAGCTGCTTCCACGTGCTCCAGACTCCACGGCAGTGTCATCAGGCTGCCTTCACTGTGGCTGTGACTCCAGAAACAACAGAGTACACAGCCATGAGTGCAGCTGTGGACACCTGACCCTGTATTTCCGGAGCTTGGATTTTCAGTATGTTCTTTAGGTATGGCGTTATGCGGATATGAGCATCTCCAGAATGAGGACAAACCCTTCTCCCACCAATCTTGTTGCACGGACATTGGGAGGTTGACACATCCTCACCACTTGTAGTTCCAGGTTACAGCTGGCTTGCATGACCCTCAAACACTTTTTCTTTGATCCAGATTTGCTTCTGGGCTCTGTCTCCTGTCATGACTCTGACTCCCTTCCCTCAGAGGGAAAAGCCGTGCGCAATGCAACGCACCAAGTCCTTTGGCCACAGCCGTTATCCTCCAACCACTGCAGGTCCATCCTGGCCAGGGTTAGAATTGTTTTAAAATTTTAATCAGGGACTTTTTTTTTTCTTTTTTTTTTTGAGACAGGGCCTTTCTTCTTTTTCTTTTGTCTTTTTGAGACAGGGTCTCCTTATGCAGTTCAGGCTGGCCTTGTGCTCACTTTGTAGCCCAGGCTGGTCTCGAACTTGCAATGATCCTCCTGCCTCAGCCTCCCGAGTGCTGGGATTACAGGCGTGTGCTGCCATGCCCAACGCTTGAATCAGGGTCTTTCCATGTTGCCCAAGCTGGGCTTGAATTTGCACTCGTTTCTCCTCAGCTTTCCAAGGAGCTGGGATTGCAGGTGTGTTTCTACCACACCCCTTTCTCTCTCTCCTCTCTTCCTCTCATTGTTTCTTTCTCTTTCAATCTCTCCCTTTCCTTTCTTTCTCCTTAGTGCTGGATTGAGCCCAGAGCTTCACACATGCTAGACCAAGTCCTCTACCACTGAGCTAGGCCCACAGCTTTTAAAATTATTTTTAAATTGACAGATAAAATTGTATTATGTACAACATGACATTTTGAAGTACATAGATACTACATTTGCGTTACATATTTGTTTTGTTGTGTTGTGTTATGCTGGGGATTGACCCCAGGGCCTCAGTCATGCTAGGTAAATCTAGTACCGCTGAGCCTCACCTCCAGCCCCTGTATTTTTGGGGGTTTGTTTTCTGTTTTTCAAGCCAAACTTTCACTATGCAGTTCAAATGGCCTTGAATTTATGCTGATCCTCCTGTCTCAGCCTCTTGAGTGCTAGGATTACAGGCATGTAATTCCATATGCCCAGAGGGAGGTTGACCTTGATGGAAAAGAAAAAGGTTTCAAAGTTAGTGCTGAAGGAAATGGAGTGACTTTCTGTCCTTACAAATCTCCACCTCCCCTCGCCAGGCGTGCATGAGAGGAAAGGAATATGGGAAAACAGACAAGGACAGGCCCTTTCCTCCTTCGGTCATTCTCAGTTCCCTTCTGCCTTTGTCAGAATAGGACTCTGACCCCCAGGGCCAGCATCTGCATACCCCTTTCCAGCTGAAGCGGTGTTATCTTCTGTCCACATGGGCGAGATACCGTGAGGAAGCTTAAAGGTTTTGTTGGGATTACAGGTGTGCACTGCCATACCTGGGGGAAGCTTAAGGTTTATCTTTTAGGAAGTCCTAGTTTCTAAAGATCCATTTTACCTTCTCAATTACAGTATGGCATTAGTGGCCATTGATTATCATCACCTAGCTTATTTTATCAGAGGTTTAGAAAAGTGATAAACTAACCCTATAATTTTTCCATCCATAAAACTTTTTATTACCCTGAAGTAGTTAGCACAGAAAAGAAAGGATAAATGCTTTTCTCTATATTAGCAAATATTTAGGGATGGCCGGTTTCTAGCATTTTTTTGTGTGTGTGTGTCGGCCATCGAACTCACGACCTCGTGCTTGCTGGCAGGGATTGTGCCTCTGAGTTATATCCCTGGCCCTTCTAGCATTCTCTAAAAGCTGGCCAATTAGATATTTTAGAAAAATGACCACAGATTTAAAAATGTATTTTACTCCAATTTGTTGCAGTTATAATCATTACTGACGCTCACATTACCCCATCTTTAGCCAGCAGCGGCCTCCGAGGCGGCCCGGGCTCCTCTTGAACCTCCCCAGCGACAGCTTCTTTGCTCTCTGGCAGGTTGTCATGTTCCAGGTTCATTTTATACATTTCCTGCCACAGGCCCCACAACACTTTTTCTGCAAGGCGCTCTGTGTAGTGTGCATCAGCCTCCGGACCCCTCTTCCTTATTCTGCTGTCCACCTCATCACTCCCTTGCCCAAGGTCCTTCAGGGCCACACTGCCCTTGGCACCACCTCCCTCCGTAGCCGTTTACCGACTGACCCTGGCTCCCATTTCCTGTTAAGTCTCAACTCAGCAAAACAACATTTGCAATTTCCTGAGTATCCCACTCTGGGTCATGCTCCTTGCTTCATGCCGGAAACCTCCACTCCCCCTGCCTTTCCGAATCTCATCTCACTTTGACCAAACTTTATCTTAGCTCAGGCATCATTTCCAGAGCACTTTTCCTGACCCACCAGGCCAGGATGCACTTCCACTGCCATCTCATGGCCCACCTTGCTCACCCCGCTGTGTACCTACCAAGCAAGAGCTCTTACCCATCTTGCTCCTAACTTGGGGGTGGATAATTCCACCTGATTGCCCTGTTAGCTGGGAGCGCACAGCGGCTCTTCTCCACTGCAAAGTATGGATGAAGCTGCTGTTCTCTTGAACGTAACCAGTAATCGGTGAGAGGAGCGTGCAGTCTCCTACGCAATTGTTTTCCTTCCTCACTGCCATTATAGCCAGTCCTTATGTAGGTCAGGATGGACACCAACTCGTGACACACTGTAGCATCACCCACCTAAGGTAACGAAGAGCAGGGGCCTGGAGACTGCATGCTTGGACTCTTTCTGGACAGAGATCTGCCAGTGCCTGTTCTGGTGACCTTGAAGAAATTGGTCAGGCATAGTGTATCTTAGGTTCTGGGACTTAGTATCTTCTTAAGTACTGGGACACTGTAAGCCCTCAAAATATGTTGTGCCCTGGGCCTGCCCCGAGAAAAAGGATAAAATTGGGCTTTACTTTCAGGAATACTTTTTACTCTTTTTCTTTGGGTACCGGGAATTGAACTCAGGACCTTGCACTTGCCAGGCAGGCACTTACGCCGCTGAGCTATATCCCCGGCCCCCTAAAACTGGGCTTTAAAGTCTTTTAACACAGGCCTTCCCTCAAAGTCAACAAGAGAGAAAACCCAGTTAACTTTCCACGCTGAGGAAAATGGCTCTCCTTGCTTGGGACAGGGATATGCAGAGTCCAAGCAGGTCAACTCAGAGGAATCTAGATAAACCAGTCAGAACAAATCCTAACAGCAAGGTTTTTGTCTACGATGATCACGGCAACTGGAAGGCAAATGTACCAGGCTGAATAGCCCAACTGTAGTACAAGCTCTGATTTATAATCTCAAATGTAAACTCCAAAGACCATTTTTACTCACTGACGCGCTTAGAAGAGCGCCTGGCTGTAGCGGAAAAACACTTACAGAGAGAGTGGCTATGATCTGCCTCCCTTCCATCTGCACCAAGTTTCTGAACTATGACCACACACCCGAACCTGCCAGCACCAAAGACAACCTCAGGAAGTGGTGGGGAAGCTGTGCAGCAGGCCGTTTCTATCACTGAGCCATCACTCCGGCAGAGTAAAGGTGGGGAGACTGGAAAAAGGTCCAGAGCATGTATGAAGAGAGAACCCGAACATTTGTAGTGCGCTGGGGCTTACACCAGGAGCTTGAGTGGGTGGGGATCTTGTTTCTATCCCATCTAGAGCAGACACTGAATCCAGTCCCATGGTGGCCGACCAGCAAGCCACATAGAACCCCAGACCGCATGCCCAGCTATGTCCCTAATTTATCACTCACAAACATCAGGAAAGGTTAAGGAATTTTCTTTATTTTTTACAAATTAAGACTATGTAGATATCATATATTTTTGAATCAAAAACACCTTTGTCTTCACAGTATGAGTTAGAGAATGCAGCCTGAGCTGAAAACAAGGAACTAGAAAAGAAAGTGAAAATTACAGTGATACTTGTATTAAAAACCTGTTAGGCATTTACTTTTAAAGTATTCTTTATATGTTGTCATTGTTGGCACTGTTTCTAAAAGAAAAACTCCTTTATCCCAAGCAAAAAAGCACAAGAGGTGGAGTCTGGCTTCAAGAGATGCATTTCAGATTCTTAGCCTTTGCAGAAAATCACCAAATTTATGGAGAGCTGTTAATATGGGCTTAATGGGAAGGAAATCCATTTAGTAAATTCTTAAATTCTTAAGCCAGAGGCTAGAGGCAGCAGCTAAGTCAAAGTGCAGCACCCTCAGTGAAGTGAGCCACTCTAGCAAATTTCATGGGAAGGCTTAGTGACACAGCACACTACAGCCAGCACACACTATGTCAAACTGTGCACTGGTTCTGAACAAGAAGAGCCAGAAATAGCATCCTGCTGATACTGCATTTTCAATAGCTTGGCCCCCTTGCATTAAAACCCAGGAGTAGCCAGGGCCATGACTACTTCTGATGCCACCCTTCCACATAAGCTGACCGTGGTAGCCCACAGGAAAGAACTGGTGATTTACTTTTAGGACTGATCCACACCTGTAACCACAAAGCTGCAGGGAACTGGAGCCCTTACAGGTTTGGTCAACTGGCTCCTACCTGCAGCTCTCTGTGAACAGGTGAGCAGATCAAAAATTAAAGTGCATCTGTAAAATGGACATTTATCTGCTGCCCCAAATCTCTGGCCTGACACTCCCTACGTGTCCAGGTGGGGGCAGACAAAAACACATCCAAGGGCTCTTAAGATGCTGCCTCCCAAATGCTACACTGATCTGCACAAGGACCCACTCAGTTAAAGGGATCTGCCCTCCACTGACCCCCGGTCTTTTAAGTTTGTCTGGCAGGATTCAGAGATATGGCCATTTCCCTTCTTTATCCTTTCTCTCGAGACCTTTAGTCACAGCCACTTGGTGGAGGCCACTCAGTAATTAAGGTGATAAACAATTTTAGAAAACAACAAAAAAATACAAAAAGGGTCAATTTGAGTATTCTGTGTTGTCTATCTTGCCATACATACTCAGCCTTTTCCATAAATGCCTGATGAGACAGTACTCCCTTTCTGCTGAAGTCCTCCCACCCCATGGATGGAAAGCAGGCAGATTCCCTGAGGGTCAGGCCAGGGTGGGAAAGGGAATACACACAAGCCCACATTCCCTTTGTGATGGCAAGGCAGAGGGTATTTGCCGGGCAAGCTTGAGCAGCTCAGAGGAAGCAAGCACCCATCGAAGAGACTCTTTTGCTTTCTTTGTAGGGCTGACAGCTCAACTATGAGCCCGAGTTAACCACAGGGCCAGCAAACTTCTTCCCAGCAGAAAACACACTGCCCAGTTCCACAGAAACTGTGTGCAAACCAAGTAACGTTGAGGAAGGCTGGGCTGACGTGGCTCTATCAAATAGCCTGTGGTCCACTGGGTGAGGCTCAGTGAGGCCGAGGACTCCTGGAGTTTGCTCCCTGTGATGGCCCCACTCCTCACGGAGGTGGGCTGGCCACCAGAGCAGAGCAAGGGCTAGAGATGGGCTGACATATGGGAGTGAAGAAGAACCCCAGGAATATGAAGCCAAACTCCAAACTATATTCTGCTAATCAATTTTTTTGATCAAAAAATTCAAAACAGAGAAAACCACAAAGTACAAAAGCTTTTCTGATGCCTTTCATTATCATAGAACACGCCACCTGCAATGTGTGCAAAGAGGGAATGAGGGGCGGAGGGGGAGAAGCCAAACTGGGAAAGGCTGGATGGTCATCTCACTTCTTCTCTTTCTTCTTGTCCTGTAAGTGGAGAAACATCGCTCTATTAATTTTTTGCATCTGACACATAAGCTCCAACTCTTAAATGATCCTTTGGTTAGAGCCTGGAGGGAACCTGGAGATTAACCATGAGAAAAGCTCCCTCAGTTCGGCAAGAACTGCACTTCAACCAGCTTCCACGGCCCCTCCCCAAAGCTGCGACAGACTGATGAGGAAGAGTAAGCAGTTGTCCCAGCCCCACATCAGGAGTACCTGCGTGGGCTGCCTGACCACCTTTGGCTACTCACAATACCACAGCTCAAATCCCAGCCAGCCCCGGTCCGAGAAGTCTGTCAGAAAAGAGAGAAACTAAGGCTATGCCACCAACTTTCCATCAGGACGGGGATGTGCTCTGTGCTAGAGGGTGAGCAGGAAGCCTCAGCAGAGGCCGACATTTAGAGACCATCTAGTCCAGGGGATGTGTCGATCTCTGGTGGAAGTACAGTGTGTTAAAGGAATAAAAGTTGTGCTGCTCTGATGGGAAATGTGGCACCTGCTTAGTGCTCAGTCCATCTGTGCACAGCCCAGACAGAAACACCAACTCTATCTAGTCACCCGCCTCTACCACCACTGCGCTGCCTCAAGTTCAGAATTAGGTGTGCAAAGGAAACTTTGGCCTCACTCATTCCCCAACTCCTAGACTGTTTGCTACAGAATTTTTTTTTTTTGGGTCATACTTGCTAGACAAGCCTTTTACCACTAGCTAAATCCCTAAAATGTTTCTTTGGAAAAAAATTAAGATCAACAAATGAGTAAAACTGGTCTACTTTTTCAGGGTACAGTGGGACATATCTATGATCCCAACTACTTGGGGGGCTGAGCAGGATTACAAGTTCAAGGCCTGCCTGGGCAACATAGGAGGTCCTGTCTCAAAATTAAAAGGGCTGGGGATGTAGCTCAGTGATAGAGCAAGTCCCTAGCATGCACAAAGTCCCATATTCAATACCCAGTACTGAGGAGAAAAAAGGAAAAAAAAAAAAAAAAACCAGAAAAAAATTTTAAGTTGGCTTGTCAGTACTGTATGACACCTTCAGTCATTTTCTCTTTTTTTGCAATATGGGGGATTAAAGCCAGACCCCAGGCCTTTTTTATTTTTTGAGACAGGGTCTTGCTAAGTTGCCCACGGTGGGTTTCAGCTTGCCATCCTTCTGCCTCAGCCTCCCACAAATTACAGGCACCTACTACTACATTTGGTTTACAATAGCTTTTTGAGTCACAACTATCTTTTTTTTTTTTTTTTTTTGTCTTTTTTTAAGACAAGGTTTCACTATGCAGTTCAGGCTGGCCTTGAGCTCACTTTGTAGCCCAGGCTGGTCTTGAACTAGCAATGATCCTCCTGCCTCAGCCTCCTGAGTGCTGGGATTACAGGTGTGCACCACCATGCCCACCACAACTGTTTTTTTTTTTTTCACAACTGTTTTTATAGCCTTTAAATTCTTCATATAGCAGATTATCTCTTACTGCCACAGATGTTCTTTTTCCTTTGATACTCATCTCAGGGATTAAGTCAAGAGAAAAAAAAAATGTTAAAGGATTGTTTTGGTTTTTGTTTCTGAGACAGGGTCTAACCATGTAGTTCAAGTTGGTCTTGAACTCACTATGTAACCCACACTGACCTTGAATTTGTAGTGACCCTCCTGCCTCAGTCTGAGTGCTGGGATTACAGGCTCCTGCTACCACACCCAGCTAAAAGGATTATTTTTACTTGTTAACTTTTTCTCTACCACGTAAAGGCTTCTGGTTTGCTTCTTGCACAGTGGGCTGCCTTACCCTCGGAGGTTCTCAATCTGAATTATACAGAGTTACTGAGCTGAGGAGCCATTCTCTCAACTGTAGGCTGACTAACCTTCTCATTCATTGCCAGGATCATCATGAGTTTTCTGAAGAGAGTAACGAAATCTAAGAAGAGATCAATGCAGTGCCTGAAAGAGAATGAACCAGGTTACAAACTCCATTTCTCACCTTCTTTAACTCCCAAGTCCACAAAGCAGCAGAACATAAACTCCACATTCACCCACGAGTCAGCTTCTCTAACACTGCACCCAACTAAGGAAGTAAAACTGGTGTCTGGGATCCATTTCAACTCAAAAGGAAGCACACGGCATAATAAAGTCTGCAACTATGTCCACAGCAGGGTTGGGCTTTCAACTATGTGAAGGTCCAAGTCTGAACCTGAACTATCAATTAGTTGTGAGACTTCACGATGATTACTACACTTAAGAACTGTGTAGGTCTTCTTCATATTGTTAAAGATTTTTTTGTTGTTAAAGATTTAGAGAGTACAAAAACCATAAAAAGTAGAAAGAGAAAGATTCTGTGCCACCACATACACTCCTGAAGGCTAGTTACTGAAGTTCAGCCATGGCACAAAACAGCATGCTTTAACATTTATCAATACAGTCCGGAAAAAAAAAAAAAAAAATCAGTACAGTCCGGTTCTCACACTTACCAGATATAATCCTTATCTCCATGTTCAGCTTTTTCAATAATGAGTTGAGTATCAAAAAGGACAAAACCACACATGACCACCAGTCCCATATACAGGTTTGCCTAACAGAACAGTAAGATGAAGTTACCATATAGTAATTGTAGTACAGGGGAAAAAAGTTACATTTTCTGCCTTTTGGTCCCTGGAAAGTACACTCAGTGGACAATAAAAATAACCATATTTTTTCCCATGACACTCTTTGTTTACTTCTTTTTCAGACAGGCTCTTGCTATGTAGTTCAGGCTGGCCTCAAACTCCCAATAATCCTTCTGCCTCAGCCTCCCAAGTGCTGGGATTATAGGTGTGTGCTACCACACTTGGCTCCCAAGACCCTCTTTATGTCATTGGAAGACCCTCCACTATTTTCACAAGTCACTGCTAGATTGGTAAAGGATGTGAGCAAATCCCCCACTCTTCAGCAGTGCCTAATGTCGTTCAGCTATACTTCTGCAAAGTTATTTAGTCCTGAGGGGTGGGTAGGTGAGCCTCGGAGGGCGCTGCCCAAAGGGGACATCTGGAGGAGTTTTATCATATCTTGCTTTAGGGTTGAGTGAGAAAAAAGCAGTATGAAGCAAACAGCTGCTGGAAAGGTCTGTGTAAAATCTCACCTGGAAAAGCCAAACAGATCCAAAGAAAAGGTTCCCAAGGGAAGACAAGACCATCAGGCTCATGGCTGACATCAAGATACCTATTAAGACACGGCAAGAAGTTATCTTGAGAGAAGCCAAGCAAAGAAGACAAGCTCATTATGCCCATTTCCTACTTCCTCCCAAAAGGAAGACTCATACCAACCTAACAATCACAAGTAGGAAAGGAGAGAGCGTTCTGGCTAGAACAGACCACACTGTTTTCATTCTACACGTACCTCCCAGAAACAGGTAGCTCCGGCGCCTGGCATAGAGTGCACTCAGGGTGAAGCAGGTGAAGATCATTGCTGTGCCCATGAAAGCAGTGGGAAGGATGCTGTTAAAGAAAAAGACCACTTGAAGACTACAGGTACCTGGCCTCTATTTAGAAGGCTATTCATAAAGATGAAAGAGACAAACATTACTACTAAAACTATTACCTAGGATTGATAGCAATGCACAGCTCCAGAGCAGGGCCCAGGCCAACTCCTAGAAAAAAAAAAGCCCCAAAACACAGTATTACCATCAATTCTTCAAGAAGAGCCTCCCTTATCTAAAAGCTGATCACTGATAACACAGATACACTCAGGCTTCTAAAAAAAGCCTCTCTTTTACATATTTATGTAAGTTAAATTAAATCTCTTTCCTCCCTTATCCTTTAATAAAGAGAATGTATGCCCAAGTTAGTTAGCTAATTATTTAGTTAGACATAGCTACAAACATGTCCTCTTACCTCAGTATCATGGATTACACCAAGAGAAACAGAGAAAAAAATGAAGGACTATCAAATATTTTTGAGCTGGAATGATACGCAAAGAGAATGTGGACCAGATTAGGAATTAGAAAAGGATAAAAGCTGCCAGGCCAGCAACCCTACAGTAAGGGTTTGCAAGGGTTACAAAACAGGTTCTGCAAATGGACTCCTGCCAACTGGAGAGCCACGTGCTCCTGCCCAACATTTCTCCTACTCTATTCCTTCTCTCCTTCTGATAATTCCATTCTTTTTTTTTTTTTTTTTTTTTTTGGTTTTTTCTCCAGGGTCTCACTATGCAGTTCAGGCTGGCCTTAAGCTCACTTTGTAGACCGGGAACCAAACTCACGACCTTGCACTTGCCAGGCAGGCGCTTTTGCCACTGAGCTAAATCCCCAGCCCCTGATAATTCCATTCTTTAATGCCTTCAAAAACTAGCTAATCTAAACAAACACACACATACAAAAAAAAAACAAACATAGCTAATCTAAACATCTTAATCCCTAAGTCCCTTTCTAAAACTCAACACTATAAAAAGCAGACTGTCACTCAGTACAAGCTGTGCCAATGCAAATGCTGCTTTGCAAGTATTTTTGAGGCCTGTTTCCTTTCATGGTAAGTCTAGAAGAGTTGCCCTTTTAATTCCTTCCCACAGAATTAGCATACTGCCCTGTGCAACGGCTCTCAATGAATGGCTTAAACAGTTGGCAAGGCTCAGAACAGGTACTCCCGACACACTGGTCAGTGTGGAGCCAACTAAGCAGATTCTCAGGCCTAGCTCAGTCCAAAGCATGCAATGTCTATTTTTGGATACAAAAATAGAAATCACAAAGAGCTTACCCTAGATATGGGAGACAATAACAAGGCAAAAACATACTCAAACACAAGTATGACTGGACAGTACAGAGACAGACCAGAACAGAGCAGTCTTCTGAAGGAACTGTACAAATGGAATGGGCAGACAAGAAAGTATGCCCGTTGGGGTAAATCAGAATAAATACAAATCTCAGGCTTTTATCTAAACAGATACTATAAGTATAGCCTTCCCCTCCCTTCAAAATTAGATCAATACGTTAACATACCTGTAAGGAAAGCAAATCCAGCGAGAAGTCCCAATCTTTTCTGCTCAGTCTCACGGCTATGAGGCGTTGCCATCAGCCAAATCATCAACCCCAGGGAGCCCAAGGCAGACAGTAGCCCAGCCTGTCAGAGCCGATCAATAATTAAATAACTGAAATCTTCAAATTTATTTTTCAGGAGACCTTATTAGGTTCAAATATTTATTGCTTCTTGGCCTTTTGGGTAAGATCAAGTGTAGGTTTAAATATTCATTTGAACTTCCTAATATTTGCCTCTAACCTGGAAGCAAGATAAAAGGCAGTGTTTTCTCAGGGGATGGAGAGAAACCAGAAGTTCTGAAGCTCAGGGTGAGTACTATGGTGGATACTGAAGGCCATTCTGGGTTAGGTAGTCCGTCAACTACACCATAACTATTCAAGTCAAACTATGGTCAATCTTGAGCAAGACATGAAGATGAATCAAACTGAGAAGTGCTTGAAGCATATTCCATTTATAGAAGTAGAAATGACCCTTTTTAAATCATTGAAAGAAAAAAATGCTAGTCACAGTGGCGCATGCCTGCAATCCCAGCTACCAGAGAAGAGCAGGCACAAGGATCACAAATTTAAACCCAGCCTGGTCAATTTAGTGAAACCATGTCTCAAAATAAAAATCAAAATGAGCAGAATGTAGCTCAGGGCAAAGACACTCGTTTCTTTCTTTTTTCGGGGGTGGGGGGGGGAGGAGGAAGGGTTTCACTATGTAGTTCAGGCTGGCCTTGAACTCACTCTGTAGTCCAGGCTGGCCTCCTACTTGCAGCAACTCTCCTGCCTGAGCCTTCCAGAGTGCTGGAATTACAGGTGTGTGCCACCGCGCTCGGCTGAGGCCCTAGTTTCTTTTTTCTTTCTTTCTTTTTTTTTGTCTTTTTGAGACAGGATCTTACTATGCAGTTCAGGCTGGCCTTGGGCTCACTTTGTAGCCCA